CCAGGTAATAGGCTCCATTGTTGTACTGCTCTGACAGTCAGGAAGTTCTTCCTGCTGTCTAGTCTAAATCTGGTTTCTTTTAACTAAAGTCCATTATTCAGTGTTCTGCACTCTTGTCCTTCCTATCTGTACTTGTAGAGTGCTATCATATCTCCCCTCAGTCTTCTCTTCTTGAGGCTGAACTTCCCTAATGTTCTCAATCTTTCCTCATAGGGGATTGCCTGCAATCCCTGAATCATCCTTGTTGCCCTCCTCTGTACCCTTTCTAGTTTTTCTGCATCTTTTTAAAGCTTAAGTGCCCAGAATGGGACACAGTACTCCAGGTGAGGTCTGACTAGTGCTGAGTACAGGGGAACTGGTACTTTATGTGTTTTGGAAGTGATGCTTCTGTTAATGCAGTCCAAAATAGCATTTGCCCTTTTTGCAGCCGCATTAGCTGGTGATCCACAACAACTCCAAGATCCTTCTTATTTGCAGCATTGTTGAGCCAACTGTTCCCGATCCTGTAGTGATGCTTTTGGTCCTTTGATCCTAAGTGAAGGACTTGGCATTTGTCCCTATTGAATTTAATTCTGTTGCTGTCTGATCAGCATTCTAACCTATCAAGATCACCCTGTATCTTATTTCTGTCTTGCTATTCTGCCCAGCCTTGTGTCACCTGCAAATTAATGATCTTTCCTTGTATTTCCCTATCTAAGTCATTAATACAAGGCCTGGTGGATGTGATGGGGTAGTGCTATATCCAGTTCTAGGGAAGAGGCAATGCTACTGGAGTGCCAAAATCTGTAGTCCAGTATCCCTGTTCTTTCTTTCCTTCATGAAGGCACCTTGTATTTTTCTGCTGCTTTCTCAGGGTCTTTCATAACTGATTTTAGATTTATTTTGGCCATGTTTTGAGTTACCTAATGCTTGTGAGGTGATGGAGGAAGTTGTGTGTGTGCCCCTACCCTCCCTTGTCTTGCAGTCTCCCAGGCTGCCTCTTCTTTTTGATCAAAGAAACACCCATGGGAGCATTTACTCCCTTCTTGGGACTTTAAATGAAATGCAGGAAGCCAAGGAGATTACAGCCCAGCAGAGTGAGGAGTACACAGGACGCACATGCAAGAATTCCTTCGCTGCTCCCTTTTGTCTTTCCCCTGCTCACATTTTCTCTTACCCCATTTTTCTCTCTTCCCTCCTCTTTCCACACTCTCTCCCCCCTCCCTCATTTCCTTTCCTCCCCCTTCTTCCCTCCCTTTTCTACGTATGTTTTCCTCTCTGTTCTTCCTTTAATTTTCTCTTCTTCCTCTATTTCTTTTCCTCCCTTCTTTTCTTACATCATCTCTCTCTCTCTATTTCCCCCTCTCTCCCTCTCTCTCTCTGTTTTTCCCCTTCACTGTTTTCCTCTTTGACACACAGAGATAGAAACATCATACAAAGCAGTACACTTATGCACATGCCAAAGTGTACACAGTTTTAAATATGTCAAAGTGTACAGTTCCCCAAATGAGCCCTTTCCAACACTAGGGCTTAGAGTTCCCTGGCTGAGTTCAGTCTTCCTTTCCTTTGCAAGTTCCACTTCAAGGTTGGCAGAACAATCAGATGACAGACACATGAACTCAGCAATGCGCCTTTTAATAAATGGTTCCAATTTCAACCTGTATTTGGACTGTACCACTTCAGACTTGACTGGCGCTCCATTAAAATGGCCATTAAAAGGCCTAAGGTAGACTTGTTGGTGTTATGTGCTGTCAAGCTTTCTCTGAGTTATAGCTAGCCTATGAATGAAAGTCCTCCAAAATATCCTGTCCATGAGAGCTCCATTCAGCCCTCCCCAGTGCAAGGCTGTAGCATCTTTTCCAGATTCAGTCCAGCTCACAACTTCCTTTTGTCCTCAGCCTTCAACTTTCCCTAACATGATTGTCTTCTCCAGGGGGACTTGACTTTCATGGTGTGTCCAAATTGACAACCTTAGTTTTGTCATGTTTGCTCCAAGGGATAGCTCTGGCTTGATTTGATCTGGGACTCACCTGTTCAACTCTCTGTCAGTCCAGGTATTCACAATGTCTCCTGCAGCACCATGCTTCGAATTGCATCCATTTTCTTCCTGTCAGCTTTCATGGGCAGGACCATGTAGTATCTGTCTACAGTCTTTAAAAGCTACAATATGACCATGTGAGAAGAGGCAAGCACCCAATTTCTTTAACGTCACCTTTCTTCCATCGCAGAGCATGTGCTGCTGCATGCAGAGTAACCAATCATCCCATCCAGCACTGTCTAGATTCAGGCCTACCTACTTTGAACAAGGGTGTCATCGGTGTCTCATATGCCATTAGACTGTGCCTGCAACATTTAGCTCCTTGAACGAAGGGGCAGTGTAGCCCCTCTGTGACAAAAGAGCAGCTGAACCAATAGTATTCAGAGAGGTTGTGCCATCTAAATTACAATTGTGTGGCAGCATCCCTTCTCTGAGGAGGAACATAGAATTGGGTAGCTGCCTCAGCCTGTAAACTGAAGGCATGGCATATCCCACTCTAACTGCATGTTTGTGCTGCTTCCATTCTTTTATTCATTTGTTTCACAGAGTGCTTTGAACCACACTGTTTAAAATAACAACATCAGAGGTATAAGTGCATGCTATTGCCTTGCACAGTGACAGATTCTGTGTCATGTATTTGCACATGGGAGAGGGTATTTTCTGAGTATTATCTTGCTGGTTTGTGGCTATTCCCAGGGCAAGGAGAATGAGTCTCTCTAAACACCACCTGCTGTCCAGGGCATCCACTGATGGATTCATGTGACTCCTGCTTCTGTTCCTACTCAGCAGCTGGATTAGCAAAGGATGGTCTTGGGAGGCAGATGTTTTTCAACAGGTGTGCTTTTGGGGCCCTAGGCCTTAGCTTTCTCATGGGTGGTGCCTGTTGGAGTCCTGGGGATGGGGAATGAGTAACTGAAGTAACAAATAAGGTCTTCTCACTGCCCTCTGGCTTGTATTTCTGCCTCAAGATAGCTTGCAAGGACAAACCTCCCAGAAGATTGGGCCCCAAGTAAATTTGCAAGAAACTGGTATCACTTGGCTGTTCAGTCTCAGGGGTACCAAAGGTGTGTGATCAGAGATGCTGCAAAAAATTCACATTGTACTCTGAGGTTCTCTGAGGGCCCTAAGGCAGCAGTTCAGTGCTGAGGCTGATATTAAGGGCATGTTTTATACACATATTAGAAGATTTTCAAAGTTGCATTTGAGTTCTTTAAAAATTCTCTGGTGGATATCACCCTAAATTGACAATTTATGCATTTAAAAAAAAAAAAGGGGCTTGGGCCCTAGGCCATTTAGACCAGGGGTCTCAAACTCAACTTACCTGGGGGCCGCTGGAAGTAGAGTCTGGGTGAGGCTGGGCCGCATCAAGTATTCCACCACCGCGGTGGTGGTGGGCCGCTCATCCCGCAGCCGGCCTGGGTGCCGCCAGTGCTTTGAAGGCCGCAGGGCCTCTCCCCCGTGCCCCGCCCGTCCCGGCAATTGGCCCGCAGGCCACGAGTTTGAGACCCCGGATTTAGACCAACTCCCTGTTCTAGGCAGGGGATTTAAGAGCAAAAGCATTCCAAGTAGATGGCTGCCCAGCTATTTTTTGAAGATCTCCAACAAGGAAGGGTCCACTGCTACTCAAGGTAAGTTGTTCCATTACGAATGGAGCCACACTTACCAGCACAATTTTTCTTCCATCATTCAGCTGAAATCTACCCATCTGTAATCTAAGCCCTTCAGATCTACCCCTGTCTCCTGGGCAACAGAGAATGTTCTACATGGCAGCCCTTGAGACAGGAATGTCATGATGTTCTTTTATCCAGACTGAACACATCTAGTTCCTTCAACATTTCCACATAGCACTTGTTTTCCCCTGACCATCTTCATTGCCTTTTTCATCTCTTGTCATTGCTGTTTGCCTCAGTTTTTCACACTGCATTGCTCACAAAGTCTCTTCAGGGAGGGACACCTGCCTTACATCTTCTGCAAGAAAGATGAACACAGAGAATTCTGCAATTTGCATACTCTTAACTCCCTTGTCATTAGTCACTGTAGGTGACTTAACTAAGAACTGTATCTGGCGAACATCTTCCATAATGGAACCTAACAGGGGAATATAATCTGTCATAAATAACATGTGCAGCTCACTCATACATCTTGTTGGAAGCTTGTTTCAAAACTGCAGCTTTCAACAGCTAATCATTGCCATGTGCGTTTCATACAGTTTAACTTCATAAATTCTGATCCATCACCTTTTTCAGGAAACAGACAATTGCCATCACTGAGCCTATAAATTTGAACTGCGTTGTTTAAGTATCTCCTAAATCTGAGCAATTAACACCATCACCCACAAGCATCCCTACAGACATCCATCTTTAGCTTTCCCAGTAGATGATGTCTTTGTTAGTTACTGTTAATTGAACTCTAAATCTCAAAGCTTTCTTGAGTTAATGAAATCCCTCCCTCCCTCCCGTCTGTCTGTCTGTCTGTCTGTCTGTCTTTCGTTCGTTCTTTCGTTCTTTAGTTTCTGGGCTAATAGCTGGGGCCAACACTTGCAAAACTTCAAAGGGGTTTGTAAGTAAAGGCTTCATCAGTGGAGCTGCAAATCTTAGTTCTAATCTTTCATGCTTTCTGACGCAATGACATCAAACAAGTCCAAAAAGAATTCTAAGACTCCAAAGCAATGTGGTGCACTCTCTCTTCCTCTCCATGTATTTAGCCACTGTCCACACAATTAAAATGATAAAAATAATGATTAACATAAGTTAATAAACATAAGTTTAATAAACATGATTGTTGCCCACTCCACTTACAAAATCCATAGGCTTGTACAGTTCAAAAGTAATCTCCAGAGCTCAAGGGATTGCCGGAAGAAAATGAAAAAGAATTACCAAGTGTCTCATGTCTATGTCTTCAAAGCAAAGGCAACCAATTTATGCCTTGGTCTTACTCACTGAAATGTAGTTTGCATATTTTATTGTTCCTATCATCTTGCTTGTTACAATCCATCCAAGGAGTTCTCAAAGAACATTAAGTCCTACAAATAAATAAACCGTGAATGATGAGGAAGATACAAAAAGGCAACAATTAATATCAAAAGGCTGACTTGTAGGGTTTCATTACACCAAAGCCTTTTTGTACTTTTTATTAGGCAGCAGTTCTTCTGCCTCTGAGCAAAGAGAGTTTTGTGTAGCAAGAAATCAGAGAGCTTTAAGTATCAGGAGAGTGTTAATTCTATCCTTGTTGGACTAAAAAGGTGGAGTAACTCCTGGATCATTATGCACCTTTAGAAGTTTTATACCACTGCTCTTCAGAAGTGGTGGTGGGGAAAAGTACCCCCCCATACACACACACAAAAGGTCTGACCTATCCTCTTTACATGCATATTTTTGTGGAAAATATTTAACATTGCCTTCCCCAACCTGGTGCCCTATAAATGTTTAGGGTTACTCCCTCACATCAGCTCCCCTCAACCTGGCCAATTATCCAGAATGCTGTGAACTGTAGACCAAAGCAAAGCATGATACCAGATTGCTGAAGGCTGATTTAGAGCATGAAATGCAATGCATGATGAGGGCAGTAACCAGGATGGTCGCTAAAGTAAATTGCATTGGGCAAGTATAAGGGATTTCTAGCATGAATTGTGTTTACGGGTGTGAACGTTTTCTCAGAAATCTCCCATTCTTCCATGCCTGTATTGTAAGCCGCCCAGACAGCCTTTTGGGCTATAGGGTGGCCTATAGATATAATAAACAAATAATACTATTGGCATTGTACGAGAGGGTTTTTAAACTAGTGCGGCATAATTTACATTACTGCTTGTGTGTTATAAATGATCTTGAATTTCATAATCTCTGGAATACGCCAGGACTATGTGTTGTTCTTCAGTGTGTGGATTGGCAAGGATTGAACCCAAGACCTTTTACACATGGAGTGCATGCACGGCTGCTACTGAGTTATAGTCGGCCTGTTGGGTTAACTGCGTCTCTTCCACCTCATTTGCACACTAGTTTATGCTCAGGCTTTCAAGCCTCTCCAAAAGGCGAAGATCACATGGTTTTTAGAAAGGTGCGAGCACTTGATACATAGAAAAAACTGTATCTTCGTGTGATAGTGTATATGTGATTGACGCTATCTCTGTGCTTCTTAATTTATTTTTTAATTTATCATATAGATAAATAATTCTTCATGCAGTTGTGAATCATGCACAGAACTGATCATGGGAGTTTAGCCAGTGCGCAACTAGTTTGTTGGGTTTGGCAGTAGAAACTCATGAAACATAATAATTTTGGCTTAACTCATGAAACATAATAATTTTGTCCCCAAGATCATGCTACACTGAAGATCGTGTAGGAAGGACGGCATAAAGAATGGAAGGACTTTGCCAGTTTTTCTCGTTTGCTATACTTACTAGAAGAAAGCAAGCACCAATCATTACAGCCTTAATTTTTACATCAAGATCTGCAGGGACCTGAATACCAAAGTTGGCTGTATTGGTAAAGATGTTGTTGACAAAGCCAGACCAATATTTGGAAATCTTGCCAATGGTTGACATGTCATTTAGAGATTTCACCTGCAGGAAAAGGAAAATAACAGGCTTGGTGTAAAAGGAGTACATACAGAATAACCCTAAAGTATTTGTGGATAAATGAAATTAAACATACTGGCAGAGAACAATGACAGTGGAGCTATTTAGGAGACAACAAAATAATTTAAGAATTAGGAGCTCTAAATGACTGGAATGAAGAATGGATATTTCAGTTGCATTATATGTTTAGGGCATTGTCAAATGCTTTATATTTGGTACAGGTACCTCCTACAACACCTTCCAAGTAATGCCAACCACAGGCTGAACATAAAATTCAACTGTCTCAAGCCAAACACCCGTTTAATTTTACTCACCTAGTTACTATTACTAGTAATTTGTGAACCATTAAGTATTACAAATGAGAAGAAAAATCAACTTTGTGTTCAGATATCCCACTATCAATATTTTTTCTGGTGCTTTTCAGCCTTCAGCTACTTAAAACAAAACAAAATATGCATTGAAAAATAAGCCTACCTGAAGATGGATTTAGCTAAGTAGCCATGCCACATGGGTGATGAGCTAGCTCATGGCCCAGCCCAGCCCTCACTCCAGACCTGGCTAATTATACCTTTAGTACCATGAAGTTGGGTGTGTACAATATTTGGCCCTCCAGATATTTTGGCTTACAATTCCAAACAGCCTGCCAATATAGGCAATGGAGAATGATCATGGGAACTTTGAGGACCAAAATCTATCGTGCCAAAAGTTGCCCATCCCAGTGTTAAGTGATGGTCCACTGCAATGGAGATGCCATGGACATGTGGTTGACCACTGTGCAAATACAATGCCATATTAGAGAGTCATTTGGTCTTTCCCAGCCTAATCTTCTGTTCTCATCCATCCAGCCATCTATCCATCCAGTATCTATATTGTCCAATAGTTGAAGATCTCTAGATGGTTTAAGCCCTACAAATACAATAGGATAATGCAGTATAACAACACAAATAGAAAATTATTATACACAATCAACCATAAAATTCCAGGACCTTGTTCTGGACATCTTTATTATATGTCCCTATGTTATTTTAGAACCTCCCCAAGGACATAGGGCCAAAGGCCAGCCATATGCTGGAAAAGCCGTCATCTTCTTCCCATGTTCAGCTTTCTACTGAACAGCATCAAAAAGTCACATAGTGTGGAAGTCATCTTGACCTATTCCAGTCCTCCCATCATTTTGCCTGACATATCCAGTGCAGATTTAAAATGCAAAAACCTCAAATACCAGGCAATGTTATTCAAAGTACCTCAAAATCAACATCCCCAAAGCAACCACATGTTGCATAAGGGCCAATTATCTTCAATATGTCTTCTTTGCTTGCATCTCTGATAGTGAATTTAGGCAGAAGAGGGTCCCATTTCTGAACAACATAGCCAACTGTGGTTCCAGGAGGAGACTGGACTTCTAGCTGTGGAACAATACAAAATATGATAAAACATGAGGCTTGCAAACATAATTGTAAAGTTTAAAAAGCAATCTAATACAGAATGTGTGTGTGTGTGTGTTCAAATATAATCACTTATCAGTAGGTAAGATCACCATGGATATCAAAGTGCACATATAAAAATGTGTTTTTAAATAAAATTGATTATTAGTAGGATTTACTCACCTCTTGCAGGTAACAAGGAAACCAGCAACTATTACATCTCAAAGGTCTATTCACAGTGATCACCTCTCGACCAGTGTTGTCCGTGATTCTCATAGTGAAAGACCGTAGCGGTGCACAGAAGTTACGATCAAAAAAGCCATTTTCTTCCACTGCAAAGTAAACTCTTTGTCCCATGTGGTTTTTAATCTCATACTTGCTGCATGTCTCAGTCCCAACTATAACTAAATGAAGTCAAATGTGAAGACCTTTATTTCATGCAATCGCCATTATTTGAGATGCATCTAACGACCATTGGTACAGTGCTACATGTAAAATTGCTACTTTCTGGATCAAATGCTTATAATAGCCTTCCAACATCAGTTCACCTGGCACCTTCCTTACAATCTTTTGGGCACCAGGCAAATATTTTCCAGATATTTTAATAATTAATTTTACCTATATAAGTTTTAATTGGAACTAAATTACATTTTAATCTTTTAAAATTTCAATTCACATTGTTCTTAACTCTCTCGTTACTGTTTAAACTCTTGGCTGTATATTATATCGTTATGAAGTGTTTTTTTTTTACTATTGGTTTATTGTTATGTATATTATTATTTTATTGTTTACTATATTGGTATATGTTTTGTACCTACCTAGAGAGACCTGTTGGACTATTGTTCTGTGGAATATAAATTTAATAATAAGTACGTAAATAAATAAATAAACCATCTGATAATCATGTGGGCTGCTAACACCCTTGAGGCACGATCTAGCTACATTAAAGAACTTAACAGTGTTTACAACCTTAAATGGTTTTATTCTGGTTTATTTGAGGAGCTACCTACACCCTTATTAACCTGCCCATGTTTTAAGGTAACCTTTAGATACCCTATCTAGTAAAGGCACTTGGCACATTACTAAGATTAGTCAGGTTGATGGGTACTACAAGGAAGACCTTCTCATTGGTGGCCCCTCATCTATGGATTTATATCTGTGGCTATTTTAAAAAGAGGTTTATCAATGTATTTCTTCTCTCAGGCTCATAATGAAAAAGATTGCATGTAATCAGTTCCTCATAGATATTGGAAATTACCTTTTATTTTAAATGTTTTATGTTAAAATGGTCTACATTTAAAGGTGTTTGAAAATCTATTTGATTTTGAATGCCACTCTTTGTATATTCACATGGACCATACAGAAGCAGACTTGACCACCCCCAAGTTAAAGTGTGAATTACCTTGGAGTAGTTCCACTTGCTGGTGAATAATTATCTGGTCCAACTGTTTAAAAAAGGACAGTTGAAGATATTTAGAGGTGTTCATATTGATCAATAGTCAATACCAATAACTAGCTCTGTTTTTATTATTAATCACAGAAGTAGTTCAGTACTATTAGCACAGTAATGCAATCTCTCTTGTGCTGGGAGGCAGAAGAAATTAGCTTGAGAAGAAGTGCCGAAGGTACTTGTTTTGGCAGAAAAACATTTTGCTAATGGGGCAATCTGAACCATCAATTCTGATGGGATTTACACTCAGATAAGGATGTATAGCAGGGGTGGACAATGTTAGGGGTCTGGGTTTCACATTTGTCCCCCACCAGAGCCCTACAGGGACCCACCAACAGTGCGGCCACCATGCTGAATTGGCAGCAATAGGACAGTGGGGACCACACCAGTGGTGGTGATGAAGGTGACATGCAATGCATCAGCCTCAGGTTGCCCACTCCTTGCAGCCTAAAGAATGTGCAGAAGATTCATGTCAGTGCTTCTTGGAAACCACACGTGGTTCCAATGCATGCGAGGAACTGCCATACCTTCCTCATTAGCTGAGGAAAGACAATGCATCATCTGCAGCAGCAATATCTATCATATTCAGATGCAGTGGAGAACAAAATGGTTTCAAGCACTGAATTGGGTTGACTGGGCATCATGAGCATGATATGGAGTATCCTATTTGTAGGAAAGGATCTCTCTAGAATCACTAGCCAGTCTGATATGAATGCATTTTTTCCATACGCTAACAAAGTTCAACCTTAAGCCAATAAACAAGGCCCATTTATTATGTTCTCCCTAACTGGAATGTTTGAATGAAGCCACATTGTGAAATGCCTACTTTAAGCAAGATCGGGTATATGGCATTGATGCTTTATAAACTTGAGTTACGAATATTCCCCAATTCAGTTTGGAAGGCAGGTGAGTTGATTTTATCATATTGAAGCCTCATTTATTGAAATGACTTGTGGACATCCAGAACAGCTGCATATTCAGAAATACAAAATATTGGCTAAGATAAGGAATGTGATGTATGCTTACTTTTCAGAAATGCAACATTCAGGAAGAAAATGACATCAAAACCAGAAACATGAATACCAATAATGACAAACTGCAAGTGGGACCCTTTGATTCTCCTGAAGTTCTTCCTGTGTTTCATGGTTCAGAAAAGGCAAGTGAAAAAATGGAGCAAATGCCAAATGCAATTCTTTAATTTTTATATATATATATATATATATATATATATATATATATATATATATTGCTTTCTGAAGCTGTTCTGCCCTTGTTGTTGAACAGGCTTCATTTTCATGGAGTATTTGGAAGCGTTTGATCTGATCTGATATTCCCAGGCAAGAAACCTTAGATCTGAGTACACTGATGGCATGACAGGAGTTCTAAGGCTTCATCATTTAGATTTGATTCCACCCGAGTTTGGTCCAGCTATAAATCAAAAGTTTTGCTTTTTAGAAAACCTCAAAGCTGACTTTCATTCTACAAATCTGAGCCTGCAGCAGAATATCAGATGGAATAAGAGGGTCCTCTGCATGGAGAGCTGGAAAACAGCAAAAGTGGGGGAGCCTAAAAGAGGCGGTTCCCTAAACTTTTGCTTATCTCACAAACACCATGCAATAAGATTAAAAATGGGTAGCTGTGCTGGTCATCAATCCATTTATTCCAAATCTACAGCAGACATGAACAGATTTCAAAGTAGTTAGTAGAATGTTGGAGCCATCTGCAACAGACTCAGATAAGTCTGAATTTCTTGCAATCTGCCACTTGGATTTTGTTATGTGATTTTTAGAGTCTTTCCTATGTGATGTAGAATCCATCAGGCTTGGAGACTCATTTTATTTTGCATATGTTCCCTCAAATGTAGATGCAGAACAATCAAACCATCTATCATTTGCACAAATCCCCCTATAAAGCATGAAAATACATGTTGCAAGGGGATTTGGACATTCTTGGCTCATTTGGGCATTTTCAGGAGAGCAGATTTGCATGAACATGTGCAAATGCATTTGTACAAATTCTGAGGCTGAAAACTGGTGCACAATGGGGGAAAATTCAGTTAAAAATCTGAAAATCCAGCACAGCAACTTTCTCTGCAGTCCACCCCGGAGGCACTTTGTACCATCTTCCTCTGTCTTTATCATCTCCTTTTTAAAACCCCTACCCTGTGAGCAGCCCTATCAGTACATTCATATCTTTTATTAGCATTCTAAACTGTCAACAAGTTTATATGTGGGAAGAAAAACAGGTTTAAATTTTGGACACATCCAGGTCTTCCAAAGAAATTCCATGTAACAGTTTGGAGAAAAGAGAAAGATGTCCTTTTGCATAGAATTTAAGCAAGCCTTCTGCAACTTTGGGTGTGCCAGACATATTTGGGCAGCAACACTCAGAATTCCCAGTGAATGGCCCTTCTTGATGAGAATTCTGGGAGTTGTGGTCCAAATGCCTCTGAAGGCCACTAGGTTGGGGAAGGCTGCTGTAAGCAATTCAACCACCGGAATCTTTTAGAAGGATTGTCAGGATACCACTACTATTTCATGGATTGATCATCCCCATGAGCAAAATGGATAGAGGACTAAACGTACCATGGAACAAGAGAGAAACTTTGCTACTCCTTCAAAGAAGAAATCAGACATGGAATGGAATTGCTTAGTTAGAACCACACTACTATCTACAGCAGAGGAAGCAAATTCTGCCACCTTCTTCTTTACTCTAATGCAGTTTTCACACTCTGTTGATGTGTGACAACCTCGAAAGGCTTTGTAAAGGCAATTTGTAACTACCCCAAACACGACAGTGGAGAGGAGGCAGAGTTATCCTACTTCCCTGAGGAGAACAAATGGTTGGAACAAAATTAAGTGAAATGTGGAGTAAATTTCAAGGCAATCAAGAACATCTGATGCAATCTCAAAATGATAACCACAACAAACAAAACCTCTTTTTACAGTTTTTCAAGAAAAGCACAGCAGATTTTGTTATGATGGAAGTAAACCCTAAGAAGGGCTTTTCTAATTTGAGAAGAGCAAATCTGTGGTCCCAGCATAACATCTCAAAGACCAGTGGGTCCTTAGCAATCCCCCCTTCCAAGGCTATAGACATCCCTACAACCTTGGAAAGGGGACTCTGGTATCTGCTCCTTCATCCCCAGAAATAATTGTCCCAGCTGTTTCTCTAGGTTGCGAATGCAGCCTTGGAAGGAGGGAAAGGAAGAATTCTGGTGGGAAGGAAGTGAGGACGTAAGGATGTGAAGAACCCTCCAGTCCCAGGCCCAGTTTTGCCCCTGCAAGCACAGTGAATACAGAGGATAGTGAGGTGAAAATCTTCTCCATCTTCCTCCTGCTCTGCATTGGATACAGAGAAGCTTTTGAGTTCAGAGGCCTGCATTGCAGACCTGCAATGAGTTCAGAGGCCTGCATCTACAGCCCAAAACATTGCATCCTCAGGTTTGTATTTGGAAAGAGTATAGGACCTGGCTTAAGTATTCCAGACCAGGAGGTAAACTGGCAGGAAGTTGGGCTTGTTTCCAGATGGTGGTGTTTTCTGAAGGCATCAGTTGAGCTGGAAGTTCTGGAGAACCAGGCAGAGGATCTTGGATGATTTTTTGAATCTGGCCTGGAGAATCTGTGCAAAACCAAGTGAACAAGTTGGTCATGAAAACTGGCATTAGTTTGTCATTTATGGTATTACTGGATTGTAGCCCATACCTATGAAAAGTTATCTGTTATAACGTGTGAGGTCTCAAAGAAATGTACATAAGATGTCAGCTCTGATGTATTATTTTGTGCCACTTCAGTCTCAGGGCTAACCCACATGGTAAAAAGAAGAGGGATACCATGTGGATTCAGACCATAAGGCACTATGTATATTTGTGGGAGGGTTTGGCGAGGCACCACAGTGGCCCTTCAGTTTCAGGGGGCTACCACATGGAAGATGGAACAGATTTGTTCTGGTTTGCTCCAGAACCCAGGGCCAGAATCAGTAGCTCAAAATTGCAGGAGAGTGGATTTTGGCTAGGAGACATGCCCTCGTAGAGAGAGCTGTTTGACAGTGGTACAGATTGCCTTGGCAAGTGGTGAGTTCATCTCTGATGGCATTAAACAAAGGTTCAGTAGCCATCTGTCAGAGAAGTTGTAGTTGCATCCAGCATTGAAGAGCCTGCATTAAGGGGGTGGGACTTCATAATCTCCATGGTCTCTTTCAGCTCTGTGATTTTATGCTGTAAGCCACTTTGAGAGACTCAGCGATCCTTTGTAATAATCCCTGTTAGCCTAATTTCTCAATGAGTTCCAAGCTTCTCTTTCTAGCAACTCATCCCCATGTTCATCTTCAATAGCAGTCTTCCAACCCACTGCCCTCCAGATGTGCTGACTACAACTCCCAGCAGGCACCACCCAGTCACGCTGGCTGCGGTATGCTGAGAATTGCTGTCTGATTTATTATGCCCCATATCCACACAGCAATCTGCATGCCCAGTACTGATTATGTGGTTTCCAGTCCTCCAGCCTGCCTACCCATCTCCCACTCATCTCCTTTCATGTCACAGGAACCTGAGACAGCCTCGGTGCTCCTTTCCCGATCATGTTCTGTTTGATCTTCATACTTTCCAGGATTCCTGAAGAGGTCAGGCACCCCATTCAGAAAACCCCTTGCATGATGGGATATCTTTTACAATTTGGACATATCAACTAATTTCTCTTCTCTGCTCTTGTGGTTTTAAAAAGAGGCTCCTTTCTATTATTTGGATGTGAGCCTGGCTGTTTCATCATGTAATCATATTTTGATCTTAATTTATCATTGCAGCCACAGCTTTGCTTCAAAGACCAAGCCACAGGAAGAAGGAGGAATCCCTTTGAATTTCTATCTAGCTTTTTAAAAATGTATAACTGGGTCATAAATATTTCATCTTCTCTCCTGCATCATTTTACCTCACAGAATCCTGTTGTTGCCAAAACTCATGTTACATGAAATGGCGTGAAGTTTTACTGGCCCAGTGCTAGTGTCATCTTCAAGGAAGGGGGGAGAAAGAAGGCAAAATGAAGTCTGCCCTGTCAGTCAGACTTAAACTACAGAAAATCAAGCAGCAGGTGCACTAAATATTCATGGAAATCTAAGTCCTTTTGAAGAGTGGTGTGTATTATTTTGTGTATCTGCAGTGTTGGTGCATTGAGGATTTTATTTCAGTCATTTTTACATGCATAAAATATACTATGTTGTGTAAATAAAGCACTTGATACAATAGCAATTTTGTTGTTATTGTTGTTATTTGACTTACACTTCTTTGTTGTTAGAAGTATATTACTTCAAGTGATTTTGCTAATTCCATTTATATGCAGAACTGTGCTTTATTTGAACACAACATTCTGCGTGTGTGTGTGTGTGTGTGTGTGTGAAGTGCCTGAAAATATTTACTATGGATTTTTCTCTTCATAATTTAGAAGAGAAATTCCAGTTTAGAGCTGGGAAAACCGGCTCTGGCTTGTTTGCTTGTTTGTTTTTTAATGGTATTAGAAAGTGTATTAATTCTCATGCCCCAAGATGACTACTTGTTTGATGACATTCAGTGGCTGCCCTTAAAACTGCTCAGCAGAACAGATGATTTCTTTAAAGGAGCATTTTATTTATCATTCTTTCAGGGACATGGAGGGGGTGGGAGAAGAAGCTGGGTGTGTGAACTTGTTAGTGCTTCTAGAATGAGCCCATGCCAAATTTTAACACCTGTACTATTTAAAGAGGCAAAGTGGTAGGTGTGAGAGTAGACTTTGACTTCAATTTTAAGTGTAACATTTCATCTTTCTTGCTTTTTTTTAAAGGAAAGAGCTTGAAAAGCTTTTCAGTTGGCTGCAATTTTCACCTTTAATGAGAACGTAGCTGTCTCAAACTAAAAAGAAGACATGACACAAACTACCCTTCAGTCCGATTGCACTTGCTTGTCTTTTGGAAGCTCATTAACAAGAATTTTTTCAAGCATGTTCAAATGATCATTACTTGCTGATGCAATCTTTCTCAAGTGAAGTATGTTTGAAGGATGCAAACCTTTTAATGGAAGCATGACTTTTCCATGATCCTTATTGTGTTGAATAAAGAGCATGCGTCCATATGCAGACTGAAGCAGGCACTGAGATGGAACCAACATCACACATTCATAAGGAAATGTGGGTTTAACTTTGTATATTATATTTGACATTCTATTATATTCTGCCTCCATTTGCAGCATTGTCAGAGCTGAAATTACCATGTCTTGGAATTGTCACTTTCCCTATTTAATCAGATTGCTGATTGCTGTATACTATTAGGGGTAGCCTTCTTTTTTAAGTAAACATTCCTTTATAGGTTATATATAATCACTTACCTTGTGAGGCCATGAAGCTGCCTAAGTCACTCCTTCAAAGGAAGCCAGGCTAAAAGAAAAGTCTTTTCTTGTTGCAGGAAGGGATGGGGGGAAGCACAGCATGCACAGACTTCAAAAGGTGTCTGTCTACTTCATGTCAGGTTACAAAAGAATGGTAAGGAAACACAACACCTTTCTCATATTCCTGTTCACTGCATTTTGTGGGTATGGACAATAGGGGGAGATGATGCTTGTAAGCAAGGGAATAAAAATGTTCATTTTAGAGACTTTTCCACCTGTGTGAACAAGAAAGCTAAGCAGGGAAATTACATTTGCAGAATACCTGTTTGCATTAAGCAGTTGGGAATGCAATCTGCTTTGTTGCATGTATTGTCTCTTAGATATTGGTGGGCCACCAATGCACTGAGACCAATTCACTGAGAAGAAGTATGAGCAGGGAAATGTCTGTCCAGAGCTAAATGCAATGCTTTCTGTTGTAGAGAAGGATGAAGCATGTAAGCGCAATAAAGGTTTTGTCCTACCGTCAGCCTGTGCTCGTCAAGGGTGATTACTCCTTTGCAGAATGAAATTATTTCCAGGAAATAATGACATCTGCCTTGCACACTGGAATGCAATAACTGCTATGGAAATGGAATTTATATATGGAGATCTTGCTTCAAAATGGAGACTACATCATAAGGCTAATGGTTCCTCTAAAAGCATAAAGGGAGATAGAGGGAGAGAGAGAGAGTAACATTGAGTTGCCTGCTCATATTTCTCACTCAAGTGACCAAGTTGCCATGGAGATTGTATCAGTGACATCATAGGCATGATTCACAAGTATTAAGTGACCATACAAAGGGCAATACAAGAAAAAGGGTATTGTACAAAACTCAAGAGATGTAAAATCACAATTATTCTTCTTAATTGTAGTCTATACTCATATTTTTCTTGTGATGTCATGGCCACCACAGATGCATTCCTTTGTGGTATGAGATTCATCAATCTTTTTCTTGCACTGATAGGAGTTTAAAGCATAATTCCAGTTATAAAGTGTGCTCACACATAACACTCCCTCATTCAGAGTTGATTGATACATTATGTCTGTTTTACACTAGCAAAAGCAAGCCATTTTCATATGGTCTCCATGCAATAAAAGTGATAAACAGACCAGCCTCCGGGATTAGGCATTTCCATGAAGGATTTTGGTTAGGGTTGTCTGGCAACAACTCTTAGCCATGGGAAGGGGGTCAGACAAGCATGTGTGAAGTGGGTTCTGGGGCTCCATGGACTACTCCTGCCTCCCAGTGACTGTGCTTGGGTTGTATAGAAAGGGTCTGTAGATGTGTACCAAGATAATCCATGAAGTATTCCTCCACACAAAAGGAAACTTCAGCCCATCTGAATCTCTTCGTAGTGTGGAGGAACTCTGTGATGCCCATGGATGTACCTGACAGGGTAAATATACATCCCCATGTGACACATTACAAACATGTGGACAGCAGGGGGTGCTGGCACTGAGCACACCAGCTATTCCTGCCAGGTGCATCCATGGGAAGTAGGGCTAGTTTACACAGCTCTGCATCCCTCTCATGAATTCTTTCAACACATGAACTTCTCTCAGGTAATGCAAAGTGGGAACTCTGTCTTTAAAGGTGGAATACCTATGAACATCAGGAGCTGACAAGGGATCACCACCATACCCCACTGGTGAGGTAGAGAACCTAGCTAATCCTTGACAGTGAATGTAGGAACCTTGGTTTGATCTAGTTCTTAAAGCTCCATGTTCTGTTATTGATTGGAAATGGTGAAACCAAGCTTCCAGATCTGGAATCTGCCTATTGTCGATAGAAGGGCTCCACTCACAGAAGGTGCCTCTACTCCAGTTTTGAGAATTTTTTCCACCCAACACCCACAGCATATTCCATTTAGCAGAGTACTTTGAGCTTCCATGTAGCATTTTCAGGAGTATGGAGGGACTGCCACTGGGACAAGTGGGCAGGGATCTCTGCTTCCATCAGGCCAATCAGCAAGTGCCGGATGTGGCGAGGTGTGGGGTCAAGCATTGTGCTTATGAATGTCCCCAGCCATGTGTATTGGACTTGCATGCATATAGGTATAGGTACTTTGGCACCCTTTCACATAATTTATCTACCCTTTGTCTTTGTCCTCCTAAACATATTGTTGACTTGAATAGAACTTACTGTCATGGGCCTTGATTCACACTACACATTCTTTGCACATTGGAGGAACCCAAGGCTTACCCCCATATTTTGCTGCATAAGAAACATCTGGCATGACACACTCTCACAGGAGCTATGAATGAACTTGAACTGTGATGTACTAAATGAGAACATAGATACTGTGAGCATATTGGAAATCAGTAGGACAGAAAGAATCAGCAGGATACATTTATTGCAGGAGTGCACATTCAGAGGTGAAGGTCACTTGCATGCTTCTCCCTCCTGCAGAACGTTAGATGACCTGTTTTGACCATCTAGGTCTTTTGCCCCAAAATGTAAGACTGAAGTACTGCTGAGATATTATGTATGCTGGAGGAACCTGTTTCCTTCCCTGCCTGTCCAGAATGACTAAACAGTGCCATCTTGGTTCTTTCTGTGCTGGCTGTGAGGGCAGAAGGAAGGCAATTCAGATTTGGAGTCCAAGCCCTGCTCTTGTAGCATGTTTCTGAGATTGGAGCTGGGACTCCAAATTTTCTTATCCTCCTCTAGGTTCTGCCTAGCAGTCATAGGATTGCACCCTCAGTGAGTTACGTAAAGAGGCATCAAAAGAGCGTTGCAGATGAACTTCAAAATATAGCCCTCTTTTTATTTATTATAATTCAGGGAACATCAGTAAGTTTCATGAGCTTTGTTGCTAAGGCTTTTCTTCTATCAAAACCATTCATCACTGACAGAGAATACTTATATCTACAGGATTTGCAGTTCAAACATTTTTTTTTACTAATGGAGTGATTTGCTATTGAAGTGTCAATATGATTTGTTATCGTGGGTGGCTAATGCTCATTTGATTGTTTGGAACTGTGGCTTCTTTTTCCTTTTCAGAAGAAATACTGCAAAAATGAAGCCCAGCATAGGATTTATGAATAAGAGTTTAGCCTTTGCACATTTTTACAGAGAATGTGGTAGTGTAATAAGTTCACTACTTCTTACAAAATATACACAGACTTCTTGCCTTACTTCCATTCTGTGTAAGGCTTGATTCTGGTAACTGAATGGCAACAAAGGATGGAGATAACTGGAAGGCTTCGACATAATATTATATTTATTCATAATTCATAATTAAGCATATTCTGTTTACTCCCAGTATTGATCCAAAATGTCTAATCCAAAATAGAATTTAGCATTTCAAATACACTGAATTCAGAGCCCAGCTTGACCCAAAGGCTGTAATATCTTTCAAGTGAGGTAAGATTCATTCATTCAGATATGAGAATACACAATACAAATCCTCCCTGATTACAGTGCAGGGCAGAGTTACTAATTGGAATTCTGCTCTGAAGAAATCATCTTAGAGTGAAGGTCTTATAATAATTTCTCCCCTTTGATGAATCCCTTCCTAATTGTTATCTGTGGGATAGGATGGTTTCAAACTGACAGGTCACCAGCAGCTTTACAGAACTAGAGCATAGCAGGATATTTTGGTTGCTCTTTCTGAAGTAGCCACAGTGCTGGAGGACTCTGACATTTGTATTCCACGTAAAGCTGCAATTCCCCATGTCCACCTTTAATTGATTCTGCCTAAAAGAATAAAGAAATGGAACCATTTTGTTGAATAGGGGGCAGTGACACTGTTCAGCCTCTGTTCGCCATTTTTCAGGTCTCTAATAATTTTCAGAGTTTGTTTACAAAAACCCTGAAGGTAGATGGTAAATAGATGCTACACCCCTGTTTCCAGCTGTGTTCAAAAGTACCTGACAACTCTTGTGCCACCACTGGACAGAGAAGCAGAGAACAGGGCAAAAAATTGAGTGACAGAAAGTATAGAGTTTGGCTACCTCTACCTGATCATCTCCGTCATCTGCACTCTGAGTTATATATGGATTTCATGCCAGCAAAAAGCAATAGCTGGGACTTGTTTGAGTCAAAAATCTATAGTTAGGCAATGAAGCCCAAAACAAACACTGTTCAGAGAACCTGGAGAGTGCCTGTTCAGGTGCCTTCTCTGCTGTAGTTTTTAAAGTAGGGGTAGAAGAATGCATGGCTGTGCTGATGTTGGGAGATTGCAACTGGCACTGGCCCTAGCGAACAGAACCAATGGTGAAGCATTATGTAATCTGTCGTCCAACAACATCTGACGGCCACACATTCCTCACTCCTTGTGTAAAGGCATTTCTCTCATTTACAACTTTCCATCAAATTGATCCGCATGCCTCTTCATCCTATGAGAAAGGTTGGCAAAGGCTGTATTTGTTAACAACTTTCAAGAATGCCCATGGCCAGAAGTTAGCAACTACCAGTCTCGCAGGCTGGAAGCCCAGCTGAATGGCTTTGACTGACTTGGGAAAGAAGGAACCCATTCACCAAGTTTTGGGTCAAGCAATTCCCAAAGCTATTATCTATTCATTAAAGAAGGTCTCACAGATGTTGGTGTCAAATATTCCATTATGATGTTATTATCTGAAATCCTCTTGTTCTTGAAAATGCTGAGTATGAATTAAATGTAGGAATTCACATGAGAGTTGGAAGAAGCTTTTTATTTCTAGAAATATTAAACTTTTCTACCCATCGCTTCTTTACCTTTCCATCACAAACAACAAAGCCCTAAAATTGCCATCTGATTTTGTAACTCACCTTGAATTTTGGTTTATCAGCTGTGTTTTGCTATAGCTGGTGCCCACTGTAAGTCCACTGATATGAGCCTGCCTGCAGAGATACTGAAGTTTGCCGAATAATAGCTGAGAATGTTGCCAAATGATGCTGACTTCCTTGGGCTGACTTAAAACGCACAAGTCACACACTGCTTGTGCAGCAGGTTCTGGGTAGTTCATCATGGAAAAAAAGTCTGCCTTGC